AAAGAAATAAAAGCAGCATTAATGTACTGGCACAATTGTTACCAGGAGGGTTAAACTGCTTTGGTCTGTCTAGCTGGCTTCTTAGCACCAATACATCTATGAGTCATTACCCAGGCTGCAGAGAAGGAAAGCAAAGGGATAATCCCTAGAGTCCTCTGCCCAAATTCAGCCTTGTTGCAATACTGATGGGGACTAGGAGCAGCTGCAGTGACCCAAACTCTGCGGCATGGGAATAGTATTGCTTCAGAGCATTTTAATTTCATTCCTCTCTCCCCTTAATCCTACTCCAATGATGCCTTGGGACAGCAGGGGAGGGTTCCAAGGGAAATGATCCCCGCTAGCGGCACAATTCTGCTTTAGGGCTCATTAAGCTGGTGCCTGGCAGCTGGGGTAGAGAATGACACGGGGAGTCAGCTGTGAAACGTGGTTTGGGGCTGTGATCTCTACACATGGCCATGGGGGTAAGGGCAGGACAGGAGGTTATGAATGCATGCTCCTGTCTGAGTTCATGCTGTTCTCCTCGGTGAGATCTGAGGGCTGTTGGGAGAGTTGGAAGCATTGGTGGGGTGTCCAAAACCCATGATTGTAGATCCTTGCTGAGGACCAGTGGGGAGGTTTCATGCTCATTACTGATGAGGCTTGCTAACACCTCACTGGAGGCAGGACACCCCTACATACAAGGAGAGACCAGACCGAACATCTGACACTCACAACTTTGCCAGTGGCTAACTCCGAGGAAGTGATGTCGGAAAGTATGTCTGCACTGACTCTATTGCATCTAACAACAGAGGTCTTACTGTCATGCCTGTGGGACCTTACCAGTGTAAACAAAGTGCCTCTCCCATGTGTTCTTCCCTTGATTTGTAACTGGTAGATTCCCATATCGGGTCACCTATCCCCTTAACTAGTTTCTACAGCCACTGACAAACACGAGTCACTACACTCTAAGATGAACTTAGCCAGCAGGGCAGACAGCCTTGCTAGGCGTCCAGGCAAGGACAAGGGTAGGGCTTCTCTGTGCCTCCTAAAGGGGTGAGGCCTCCGGCAGAAGGGGCAGGGGTGGGGCGAGGCAGCTCTCAGCACTGCCTGGTGTGCACAGTGCTGCCTGCAGAAAACTGCACACCACTCCCGCAGGGATTTAAAGAGCCCAGGGCTCCGGCCACCGTGGTAGCAGCAACTGGGAGCTTCAGGCCATTTTGTATCACCAGGCCCCGGAGCAGGTATCCCCTTTAGCCTCCCTTGTCAGCAGTCTCCCCTCATAGCTCTGTAAGATTCTGAGGCACCTGAACTTTGACAAATTTACACAATTCATATCATCATAATTACACAGTCATTTTGTATCCATCACCGATAATCACAGAACACCCACAGAATGGATGTACAAAAAGTCCTTCTGACATACTAGGCAGATGTTAGATCGGGATAGCTCAGGTTGGTCAGGGCTGGGGTCCCCATCACCCAGTAGATAAGAGAGACATCTGAGGCAAAGGGGAGGCATATGTCCTTCACTTTGGTACAGAACCCATTCTCAGGGTCGTAATTAAATGTTCAAATCATTTTACCAAGCTTGTCTTTAAGACTTCTGTAAAGAGCCAAGGTAACATATTCACTTCCCCCTGACTCTTGACAGGTGGTAATAAGGTTCTCCCATTTCTTTGAGTGATGTGATTTGAAGGCTTTTTTGTATACAACTACTTAATTGCATCTATTTTAAAAGGGTGACGCCTGCACAGGGAACTTGAATAGTATTTCAACAAGTTTTAAGAAGCTGTCACTTTCTCTGTCTCCAAAGCTCCAGTACATTTTGTCATCCCATTTTAGCCACTTTTAACATCAAATCCTAGGGTTGGAAGAGACCTCAGGAGGACATCAAGTCCAACCCCCTGCTAAAAGCAGGGCCAACCTCAACTAAATCATCCCAGCCGAGTCCAGTCAGTGACTTCAAAACCTCTAGGAATGGAGATTCTGCCACCTCCCCAGGGAACCCATCCCAGTGCTTCACCGCCCTCCTAGGGGAATAGTTTTTCCTAATATCCAACCTAGACCTCCCCCACTGCAACTTGAGTTCCACATTCTGTCATCTGTCACCACTGAGAACAGCCTCTCTCCATCCTCTTTGGAACCCCCCTTCAGGTAGTTGAAGGCTGCTATCAAATCGCCACCCACCCCCTCTTCTCTTCTGTAGGCTAAACAAGCCCAAATCCCTCAGCTTCTTCTCATAAGTTGTGCGCTCCAACCCCCTCATCATTTTTGTTGCCCTCCACTGGACTTTCTCCAATACGTCCACATCCTTTCTATAATAGGGGCCTGAGAATTGGACACAACACTCCAATTGTGGCCTCACCAGTGCCAAATAGAGGGGAATAATCACTGATCTGCTGAATATTTTTAACCCTGGTTGGACAGGATATGGCCTGCGGGCTGGTATTTGCTCACTCTTGGATTAGTAATGATGATTCCCAGGCCTTGCCCATGGCGAGTAGATTTCAGCCCGGCACCCTGTTTACCGGCGGTGCGCGCATACGCAATGCAGCTCTTGCGCATGCGCAGTGCGGGGCTAGTGAGCGGCTTTCACCGCAGTTCGTCAAGCCCTGATGATTACTACATACATTTAGCATGAGCTTTCCATACGAGTTTAGCATTGGCTTAGCTCTGGTTCCATTGAAGTCAATGGTAAAACCCTCATTAACATCAGTGGCGTATTGATAAATCCATCAGTAACAGGGTAGTCACCCCGCTCCCGGTGGAACAAGGGTTAAACTCAGCCTAGGAATCGTGAGCCAGCAGCTGAGGCAAATAGCTAATTAGGGCCCCACTGGGGCTCTATAAATAGGGGCTCCTGGAGAGGAGGGAAACAGTAGCACTTGTTTCATCCGCAGAGCAGGAAGGACCTGGGTTAGATGACTGGCAGTAGGGTCACTGAAGGAAGACAGGCAACCACAGGCGAGACCCCTCCAGCAGATGGCACTCCAAGGCTGAAGAGCTAATTCCTGAGCAGACCAGGAGAGGGCGCCACAGAGGTGAGTCACACCCCATTACACCATCCTTAAATGCCTCATTCATTGCATTGGCTTTTGGGTATTGTTTTTTTCCCATTTGTCTCGGGGGAAATAAAAACCCAAAGGAAAGAAAATCACAAGAGAAAAACTGCAATTAAGCCTGCCACCTGTTGTAGCGAGTCACTCTTAAGAGGTTCTTTCTGTTTCAAAAGGTTATACTGATTTGATTCCTTATCCTTACAATGTGGAAGATCAGTGGGGAATTCTCCAGCAAAATGGAATGAACTTTTTAAGTGCCACTACTGTAGCTATATAAATCGGAGACAAATAAAGGTGCCTGCTGGGAGGCAAAAGCTGCTGAACAGCTCCTGAGTTGGAGGATGCAGGAACAATGAAATCTGACAGGCTCCTGGAGGAAATGAATGTTCACAGCTGACTATGAGACCTGATCCTTGTACTTCAAACTTTTTTTTGGTTGGGGTGGGCCAGAGACAGATGAGGAGAGGTTCTCTCCCTGCGAGTGCTAAGCAAGCGATTACAGTGTGAAGAACAAGCACACCTTCAAAACGGATTCTTCGCAATGAATATGGAGGCAGGTCCTGTGGCCCTTGCCTAAGGCGCAGTTGGGGTCTGCAGTTCTATCTTTCAGTCTCCTTCACTCCCATCCATTTTGGAGCACTGTAGAGGCTATGGAAGCCATAGGTATAACCTACATAGGCAGCATCCAAGGTGCAGTCGCCTCTTCCCAGTGCCCCAAATCCCTTCAGCGCTGTACATGCTCCAGCTCTGACCTCTCAGAACTTCAGTAAGCCTTGCTCCCGAGGCTTGTGGCAGGGCTCTACAAGGCTTAACACTGGCAGACGACAGCCCAGCCAGGGGGATTGGGTTACATCATCATACTCCAAGTGTTAATTACTCCTTTATATACAATTTGCACCCAGTCATTACTGTGTCACTACCACCTCTGCACAGTAGTTTTGGTACAACAGGCTGCACTTGTATAAACTGGAACTCTGGTCTGGCCAGACCACAGATGATCCCGAATCAGAGTCCCAGTGCACAATGGGAAGGGGGTGTAGGAGCCCAGCATGATGTGGTGGGACCCTGGGAGCCTGCCACTCAGCCCAGCTGGGTGCAGGGGGAAGAGAGGGGGGAAGAAGAGGGTGGTAGTCAGGAAGGCCTACACATGGCCCAGCTGAGCTTGGGGGAAGGGGTAGGGGGGAATAGGGAAGCCCAGTGTGCATGAGACCCAGCTGGGCTTCCGGGGGAGCTGGGAAGCCCCATGAATCCAGCAACGGGGGGCGGGGCAGAAATGACCTCCCCTGGTCTGGCACAATCCCTCATCTGGAACCTCTCAGGTCTCGAGGGTGCCGGACCAGGGAGGTCCAACCTGTACTATAACTGCACGGGGCAAATAATAGCTGAATTGAGAAATCATTTCTTTTTCTTTCCAAAATATTGTTGATTAATGATTCCTCAGTCAGGGAGGAACATGGTTAATGCAATTCTTACATATTCTCACAGTCTGGAAGAGAGGAACACATTTTGTTTACGAAAACTTGGTTAATTGTACTCTCTTTTTTTTCTTCTGAGTCTTTTTTCTTGCTAGGGTTATACAAGAAAACTGTTTATTCCTCATCTAAGTAATATTAATCCTGTGTTTGTACCATAATTACTACAGCAACTAATTACGATGTCCCAATCAGAGGATTGTGACTTAAGGCAGAGAATAAGCAGCAGGAGCAAAGAAATCCTAACAATATGGATTCTGTCTTCACGCCAACATCTCTGCTAATAAAGAGGAAAGAAAATACCCATGTAAAAAGAACTGCCTCTAGACAAAATACTCTCCCCACCCCCAAAGGAGTCAATGAATTTTTAAAGAATGCACAGTAAGGAGGGAGATCTTGCACACAGTTCTAAAGCTACATCCATGGAACACCAGGGATGGCATTTCTATTATGTGCAGACTACAATGCTGGAAATACAAACAATACTTACATCCTGCGCTGCCATTGGTCGGCACCAAAGTGAAGTTGGAAGCCCGGGGGTTACGCACGATATCCTGCCAATGAATGGTGTCTGCGTAGCAAAGAAACTTGTTCTGGCCAACGTATACCCCTCCATTCAGTATTTCTGTATCAAAGAAGAAGACAACAAACTCTTCAGTGTTGAGATGTACAGCAGACGTACATCTAGGGATGCGTCTAAGAGTGGGGAAGGAACAGTAAGGTTAGAATTACGAAAATAGGGGTGAAAACGCCTTGTAAAACTTCATACATTGATGATCAAGGAGCTCACCAAATTGGAAAACTGAAACCATCTATTTACACAAAAAGGTCCTAATGGAGATAGCCACAGATAACAGTGGAAGCTCTTCACACCAATCAGCAAACGGATTTGACAGTCTCCAGAGGAGTTAGTGGGGAAACCTGATGTTCTAATTTAACTCAAGAGTGTACTCCGGATTTATTTTGGGGAAGGGTGGAAATGTCCAAGATTCTGTTCAGATAAAATAATGAAGTGGCACACTCTTCTACTCTGAATCAGACACCTGTAATACCATGCTGTAAGTATAATTAACAGCACAACAACTACATGGTTTTATGGGGAGGAGGAAGATAAGAATTCTCTCATTTACAACTGGTTGAATTTGGTGCAAGTGACATGACCATTGGAAAGGACTTGTACTGCATGGCAGCATAACCAATCAGAAATCCTCTTATTCCCTTCTATTCGGCACTGGTGAGGCTACATCTGGGATACTGTGTCCAGTTCTGGGCCCCTCCCTAAAAAAAAAAAAGATGTGGATGCATTGGAGAGAGTACAGCAGAGGGCAACAAAAATGATGAGGGGGCTGGAGCTCAGGACTTATGAGAAGAGGCTGAGGGATTTTGGCTTATTTAGGCTGCAGAAGGGAAGAGTGAGGGGGGATTTGGTAGCAGCCTTCAACTACCTGAAGGGGGGTTTCAGAGAGGATGGAGCCAGGCTATTCCCAGTGGTGACAGATGACAGAACAGAAAGCAGTGGTTTCAAGTTGCAGTGGGGGAGGTCTAGGTTGGATATTAGGAAAAAAATCACTAGGAGGGTGGTGAATGGGTTGCCTAGGGAAGATGGTGAAATCTCCATCCTTAGAGGTTTTTAAGGCCAGGCTTGATACAGCCCTAGCTGGGATAACTTAGTTGGGGCTAGAGCTACTTTGAACAGCGGGTTGGACTATGTGACCTCCTGAGTTTGCTTCCAACCTTAACCTTTAATAGAATCACAGAAAATTATCTTCATTCTATTCTCTACTGACAACTGAGGGTGCAACTTACAAACTCAGGTTAAATCTTCAAGAGTCGTCCATGCTAAAGGGCACCTTCTCTCTTGAACCAGACATAGGTGAAAAGCGGTGTGTTTGTGTACCACACTTTGGCCGTACAGGCCAGGTTCTGGACTCCAGACACCATTCATTTCTTCTTCATCGGGCAGCTGAGTATTCTCTTGACCTATGATATGCCCCTTGCAGTCCTTAGCATAGTGAGTATATTTGGGGGAGTGGACATGGACAGAGTATTAGGAATGAGCCACAGGTTATCACAAGGCTGACAAAAATAGCCACTTGCCTTTCAAGTGGGTGTTGTCTCATAATATATTTAATTTCTAATGATCAGCAATTAATTATGTTTTCAATCTGAACAGTTTATGAAAAATCAGGGGTTTTGAAAAAAGGATTTGTGACTAAAAGATTTTTTGTTGGGAAAACCCACAAACATTCTGATGAGGATGTTGCAGTCCTCCATTTTCATCTCTCTGGGCTGTGCTCCATAATAGGCCTGCATCTCCCATGAGGCACTGCTTCTCTTCACTAAGGGTATGTCTACACTGCGGCCTAAAGTCGAGTTAAGCTACCAACTTCAGCTATGTTAAGTGCGTACCTTAACTTGGCTTTAGGCGCTATCTACACAGCAGTAAGTTGAAGGAAAAATACTCTTCCTCCAACTTCCCTTACTCCTCGTGAAATGAGGGTTATAGAAGTCGGAGTAAGAAGCCTATTACTTCAAAATTCTTTCGAAATAACGGGCCTGCTGTGTAGATGTGCATGCTGTTATTTTGAAATGAGTTATTTTGAAATCAGCGTGCATTATAGACACAGCCTCAGAGGGGAGATTCTGGTGCATGGTGAGGATCATAGTCTCACTAGAGAGCCCAGACTATAAAGAAGAATGGGATCATGAGGCATCTGGACTACACCTTCTATAACGCACAATGGTAGTTTTGTAAATCAAATCAAAATATTTCAGTTGCCCCAAAATGTTTTGGTTTTTGAATTTCTGGTGAAAACACAGACATTTTCCTTGGAGAATTTAGATGAAGACTTCCCCCCCTCACACTTTTCCCTGGAAAAAACCTGAGTAAACACCATTAAATACACAAATATCTGCCAAAATATTTTGCATTCTTTTGATGAGATCTCCTATTCTACTAAAGTCATCATCAGAAAAAGTGACCTGTCAGCTCTCAGCACTGAGGTTTGTAACTGAAACTAGTTCAAGTAAAAGATTCTGTGTCTCCTGCCTTGTTCTGTTTTCAGTACAAGTCGGTGAGAAGAAACCCATCTGCCTTTATCCAAAATGCACAGAAGATCCATTATGGGAAACTCGAGCCGTGAGAGATTTGGTGCCGTGCCCCTCATTGGCATGGCATAGAACTCGCAGTGCAAGGCAGGGAAGGCTTCACATGGTTACAAAACATCTTTGCACTGACCTGAACAGGCTCCTCCAGGGGGGTCAAGTTGTCCTTGGAGTAATGAGGACAGCCTATCCCCGGCCCCTGGGGATGCAACCCTGCCCAAAATATCTGTAGTGAAGTATATGCACCACCCTGAAATGCACCTTCCATTCTTGGAGACACTGCAAATGCCAGGACTTCTGATGGGGTGCTTGGTAGGGTGACCATATTTCCCAAAGTAAATTCAGGACAAAGTGCAGGGCTGGCCAGAGCTGCTTGCCCTGAAGATTCTCCCAAACCACCTGGCATTATTGATTACCCAGGCCACTCAGAACTGGGGCTGGCCGCTGAGGCCTGGGACTACGTTTGTCCACCTGAGACTTGGACTGACTGCCCAAGTCCCACCACCCACTAACACTTCATGTTGCTCCTGGACTCCTCAAATCTTATTCTCTCCCTCAGGGGTGCAACCCATTTTTTGGGGGAGGGGGAGGAACGGGGCAAGAAATTCAGGTCGTCTGGGATGGGACTTAAAAGGGGGACTGTTCCGGCCAAAACAAGACGTATGGTCACTCCTGTCCTGGGACAACTGGCAGTTGTCCTCAGAATTCCTTCTCCAGCTTGCAGCCTCTCTTGACACTGCTCCAGTCCTTTCCACTGGCAACACAGGGCCAGATGGGAGACAGGGTCTCACATCAGGAGGCTTTAACCTGACAGGTGTAATGTTTCCTTGAGCATAAGAATTGTACCCTACAGCAGTGCAAACAAGAGAAGAACAGAGGTCCTTGATAAAACAGAGAAGTAGGTGGAGAAAGGCAGAAAACAATCTACGGCCTCCCCCCACCATCACCATAAAACACCTGACATTCCTTGTTCCTCAATTCTTTCTCGGAAATTAGAACGACAGCCCCCTTGGTGCATTTTATGCTCTTTAACTGTGCAGGCAGGAGCTAATCGCTGTACAAGAGGCATTAGAAAGTGATGCTCACAATGGGAATGTACCTTAAGCATAATCATTTTTACTTTTTGCATTTGTTCCTAAATTATTTTTTGCAAATTTGATGTTACTAATATCTAGTAATTACAGAGTTTCTGTGGCAATGCTTACTTTCTAAAAGCACTCCTCATTTCTCTATCTTCTTAACGATTTGATCGGTCAAATCTCAATAGAGAAGGCTATTCTACTCTTGTTATGAAAATGAAATCCTGCTGCTGTTTCTAACTAATCTCTTTTTACCTCCCAGAAATCCTGCTGGTTCCACGGTTTCCTTTCTTGTTTTTCAGTATTTCAAAGCACTGGACAAACTTTTAGCCATGTGACTCTCATTAAAGTTAATAAGGACTGTGAAGCTAAAACCCCGTGAGCCACTCAGAGTCACAGATGCGAGTCCTAATGCCGAAAATGTGAAGGTTGCTTACTAATGGCATCTTCGAATGGCGTTAAGGGGCGCTACTGATGTAAGGAGTGTCATCCTTCTTAAGGAGACATTAAAAGTAAATCTTGACTACTTTGGGGATGATTAAGGTTATTTGTAGTTTACAGATCCAGAGCAACTCTTCAAAAACTTCTCCAGGGAATATTAACAGCTGCAAACAGTAAGGAAATAAGACACTGAATTTTTCACTAAAAATATTAGGATTTACATACTATGAAAAGGAGACAGTCTCCCAAACATAACATATTAAAAAAAGGGATCGCATGAAAACTCCTCTTTCCTCCGCATTAATCAATTAATGGTAATGACATTTATTTCTAGGAAACCTTTGGTTTAAGAGCTTGGATTTTTTTTCCACTGAAAAAGGGCTTAAAATAGAGACAAAAATAATTATTTTGCACAGAAAGGAATCCAGATTAGAGATAGACTACTGATCCATCTGGATGATATTCTTGTGATCCCTGACATATCCCACACGGCATCTGTTAGCAATTCTGCCTCAAGAGAAATGAAATATTTAGAAGAATGTATCAAAACACTATTAGTGATCATTTCTCCTTTTTGTGCCATCAACACAGAATGAGCAAATCCACTCTGTCCCAAATCCTGACCCAGAAGAACCTTGCCAATGGACACCAAAGATCTACTATCATTTCCAGCTAAATGGGTTATAAATTTGTCAATTGATTTATGTAAATAGTTGCAAAGATATACATTTTCTTATATAGGCATTCATTTGAGAATGCGTATCAAAAACTGGATTCACTTTGCTTGATAGGAAACTTCTGTACGTTCTGATACACTCAGCACCAACTTATGCTAGCTTCAATGGGAGTAAGAAGCTATTAATTGGAGGTAAGAGTTTGAGAATCAGGCCCCTTTCCTGTCTCCGCAATCAATCACGAGCTTTCAACGAATGTTAACTCAAGGTTAGCATGAAAAGTTATCTGAATTCTATTGACAACCCTTAATGTCAATAACAAGCAC